ATGCCTGGGTGGCTCAATGGTTGAGTGTCTACCTTCAGCTCAGGGCATATCTGGGGTCCTGGGATTGAGTCCCACATTGGGCTCCCTGCGGGGAGCCTGCTTCTCACTCTGCCTATATCTCTGCCTCTCTCTGTGTCTCTCATGAATAAATAAATAAAATCTTTAAAAATAAAAAAGAATATTCTTTTTAAAATGTAAATTTGGTCACATTACTCTTCTGCTTAACAGCTTTTGATAGTTTCCCACTTCTTATAAGAGACAGACTCCTCATCCTTACCACAGCATATGGCGTTTCCTGCCTAAGACCTGGCCTTCCCTTCCAGGTACATCTCCATCACTCAAAGACTGGAATGCCTATTATGTGTCAGGTTCTGTTCTAAGTGTGAAGGATCTAGTGAGGATAGGGCAGACGAAAATCCCAATGCTCATGGGACTTTTTACGCCTATGAGAGATATGTAATAAATATGCAAATAAGTAAATAAGAATTTTAGATAATGATAAATGATATGAAGAAAAGAAAATGGTAAAGTGAAGGGCAAATAAAATGCTCAGGGAAGTCTTCAAGAAGAAATGATCTCTGCAGTGAGGTTTTTGAATCATGAGAAAGAGGGAAATTCTCAGGTAAGAGAGCTCCAGAGACAGGTAGCAACAGGTGCAAAGCTGGTCCTGACAAAACTCTTACTCAGCCTTCAAGGCTTGGCTCAAGTGACTCTGAAACTCTCCCTAATTCTGCCTTCTAAGCAATTCAGCTCCTTCATTACCAAGTACATAGCACTTCTACTGGGCAGATGTCTATCAGCCTGCACTCTATCTATCTAGGTTCACATCTGTATCTCCCACTGGACTGTGAGCCTCCAGAACAGTCTATTCACTTTCAGATTCTCACCACCTAGCCCAGATACCAAAAAAGTATTTGATAAATGAATGCTGCTACCACTGAGGACTATCAACAGATTGTGTTTGATAGAAATGAAATCTATGTATGAATTTATTATTCTTTGATGCCATTCGACACAAAACAGTATCTACTTACATATTTACATCTGATTTTAATCACTAATTCACCAAATGCATACACACCAATCAGTGCCAGGAGCTGGGGACATAGCTATAAAGAGAGGGACATGGTATCTTTGACCCATGAATATATTTTCTACCAGGGAAACCAAAGAAATATTCAATTACTCAATTGCTTGCCTACTCCAGGAATAAGCCCTGTGAAGGAGAAATACAGATTGCCATGAGTATACTTCACAGGGAGACCTTGCCCGGTACAGGGGTCAGGAAAGACTTCTTTGAGAAATGACAATACAAGTGAACTCTGAAGGATGCGTAGGAACAAACAAGGAAGGTGAACACTCTGGATAAAATGTATTACATGTTCAAAGGTTTTCAGAGTGAAGCATGATGTATTAGATGCTAGTACAGCTGAAGAACAAGGACAGGGAAAAGATCACAGAAGATGACATCATTAATTCATAACAAGGTAAAAGACGATGTAGAATACTGATCTCAAGAAGCAGAGCATATTCCATTACTCACTTAGCAGTGATTTGGGTTTGTTTTATCTCTGTCAACAATAAAAGGAGAAATGGAGGAAAAACATCAATAGCAACATCGTAAATGAGTTGCCTTAAACCTCTCTAACACACTATATACCATTCCGTGACTCTTAATATATTTGTGTCATAAGTAATTGGTAAGAACCATTACCACAAGAGTATCAGGTATTACAATAAAAGATGTATTTGGTGCTGTGGGAACACAGAATCATTTGTATACCTGTATTATGAGACTGTAAATTCCTCAAGGGCCGGTGTTCTTACTCATTTTCATATTCAGCTCTGCAGCCAGCATAGTGCCTTACGCCCTGCAAGTCCTCAAACAGTTACTGAGTGAATTTCAGTTTGCTTGTGTGACTCATAGTTTATGTTACTAACTGGCACACACCCTGATCCAAGGTTAGCTGACAGAAGCCTCCCTGAGAGACACACAGATTGAAGAAACAAAACAGCTCAGATACTTTAGAACAAAAGGAATTTAAAACAACCAAAATGGAGGAGCTATCATTTTATTACTTTAAGATATAGGCTAAACACACCACTGACTAAATATATTGAAAAAAAATCTTTTGACCTGAGAAATATGAAGAAAACCCAAGGACCAAGGGTCCTGGCATTTTCTAAAGGAGGGGGAAGAGGAAAACAAAAAGAAAGTTCAAGTTTTACACTTCCTTTCAGCAACAACAGGAAAATAATATTTGTAAGGCCAAGACGACAGGACTATGGACTGCAGGAGAAAGGAACAGTGAGCTGGGAAGAGGAGGTGCTGACCAGGAATGTGCAGTTCACTGTGCAGTTCACTGGAATGTGCAGTTTACTGTGCCAGCATCCTGCCAATCTTTCTCTAGAAAATGAACAAGAGGTACTTCCTGCTGGCTCAGAGCCGTACCCACTTCTGTGCGTATCTCAGCTTTTTTGGGGGGAGCTTGTAGCTCACCAGGATTCAGGGAGCATTATATTAAGACTCTACTATTTTAAGGTAAAAGAAGCACAAAGCCTTGTGTGGTGTTTTGGTGGGCGGGGGGGGATATCTAGCATTTCAGTTCCTACAAGCAAAGTTTCCAAAACTCACGAAAGAATACAAACATCTCAAAAAAAGGACAGCCAAGAAGAAAACAATTAATTGTCTTAAGTAGAAATCTCCTCCTTCCACAGGGACACCACCAGTAAGGGAAATGAACGGTCTTGGAATCTTTCTATTTCTCCCCAAAAGTGAGTTATGGTCCTACTGCCACATAAAAGCTTTGCTTCCTAATATTCTGACCTTCCTGTTATGAAGGACCTGGTATCTAGGTTTTGATGAAAACAATCTCTGTGGCCAATGACGTAATCTCAAAATCCAGCAAAGCATGACATTTCCAATCAGTTATTTCCCTAGGAACACTACCTTGCCCCTACTTCCATGCCACCTACTTCCCAGATTTGTGTTTGTCCTAACAAGTCAGTCTTTTGCTTTCTGAGCCCCTTTAAGTTGGGGGGAGGGATGAATACTCATTGTCCAAATCCTCAGTCTTCTTTCCTTCTATCTATATAATCTTTATCGGAGACACACCTATTTATCTAGACTCTGCCTATGCCAACAGTTCTCAAATGGTAGTGATTCTGTCCCCCAGGGGACACTGGGCAATGTCTGGAGATGGTTTTGGTTATCAGAACTGAGGGAGAAGGGTGCTACAGGTATCTGGTGGGCAGAGGCCAGGGATGCTGCTAAACACCTTACAATGCCCAGGATAGCCCCCAACAACCAAAAGAATGATCTGGCCCAAAATGTCAACAGTGCCACCATTTAGAAACCCTGATCTACACAGATGGCTTTAAGTCATTTATTCTTTCATCTGACCAATGTATTACCAATTTAAGACTTGCTCTGCCCAATGCAATGGGTGGGACGTTTGGGGAAGACACCAAGGGACTAAAGATGCAGGCAACCATCTGAGATGTATTATACTCTGAAAGGAGAGCCTACCTGGAGGAAATGAGCCATGCCTTAGTTAAACCAGACAAATGTTCTCACTACCTTTGGGGTACCTCCACATTCACGTGTTCCAAACCAAACACTTTATCACATTCCCTTCTACCCACCCTCATCACCACCTAGTACATTCCTCCTTGTGTGTTCTCTAGCATTTCAGTCCATATCGCCACAAACGTCCAGGCCACAAATATTGGTCAATTTAAACTTCTTCCTCTTACCTAATACTGAATTAAACGCCAAGTCCTTGTGACTTCACCCTGATTATGTTTCTTAAGCTTATCCTTACTCCCCTTATCTACCACCTCTCTTCCCCACAACCCCACGTTCAAGACACTCTTTGTGAAGTCTAGTGCTCTGTAACAATAAAACATTTTGTAGGGTTTTGTGGTTGTTGTTATTGTTTTTAAAGACACTCACATTGAGTGGCAATATGGGGATAGTGGAAAGAGCATATGTTTGGGGTCAAAAAAATAATTTGGAATCTTGGCTCTTTAGTAACTAAGTGTTCTTGAACCACTTATTTATTTCTCTGCACCTCAGTTTCTTTCTCTGTAAAAAAGACATAATACCCAAATAAGAAGTTTGTTGGTTAGGATAATAGAACCTGAAATATCATAGATATTCACTATATAGTAGCCATCATAATTGTTTTTTTTTAATTTTATTATTTATTCATGAGATACAGAAAGAGAGAGAGAGAGAGAGGCAGAGACACAGGCAGAGGGAGAAGCAGGCTCCATGCAGGGAGCCTGATGTAGGACTTGACCCCAGGACCCCAGGATCACGCCCTGAGCCAAAGGCAGACGCTCAACCACTGAGCCACCCAGATGTCCCGATATAATTGTATCTAATCTATACATACCTGATATGCTGCAGGTATTTAAATATTAAATTTGGAGAAGACTGAAAATATAAACCATAATTATAGGATTGTCTTTATGAAACTTGCTAAGTTCTCCTGAATCTTTTTCAGTGTAAGCTAATTTTTAAGATTCCAATCCAGGCTTATTTGAAAAACTAATTCACATCTAAAGAAAGGAATGGAGAATTTTAATAACAGTATCAACACTTTTTATTATCATTTTATGTAAGTCAAGCCCAGATAACATGCAGGGATTGTATTTTTTTAAATTATTTATTTATTTACTCATGAGGGACACAGAGGCAGAGACATAGCAGAGAGAGAAGCAGGCTCCCTGTGGGGAGCCCGATAGGGCACTTGATCCCAGGACCCCGGGGGATCATGTCCTAAGCCAAAGGCAGATACTCAACCACTAAGCCACCCAGGTGCCCCACAGGTAGTGTATTTTAAAATGCCAGAAAATAGGCCCACTTTCATCCCTCTTAGCCAAGTAAAACTTCTATTAATTCACAAATTTAAAATTTTCCATAGAGGTTTCCCATCAATATATTCGCTGTGTATGGATCCAACAACAGAATGCTTATCACATTATGCACTTACTTGTTCCACGTAATAAAAGTTGCTCTCTGAGTTGAAATGCCAAGACCAACAATTTGGTTCATCTCTATTCCAGCAACTGAAAATAAAGATAGGTAAAAACATGTGTTTAGAAGCCAGTGAAGTTCTTCTTTACCATATTATAGTATGGGGAATAAATCATTCAATATAATCTTTAAGGAAAACATGGGTTTAGCATTTAATAACATAACTGGAACTAATTAAGGAAGCATTACTAATGATTTTGTAATAATTTTTTTACTTAAAGGGAAAAAGGTCATATTCTAATAATAACAAAATGGCTTTCTGCTTTAAATGTCAGAAAAAAAACCAAACACTACTCAAAGTAAGTCAGATTTTTATTTTCTTCTTGATAATATTAAAAAAATCGCTGGGGATCCCTGGGTGGCTCAGCAGTTTAGCGCCTGCCTTCGGCCCAGGGCTTGATCCTGGAGTCCCAGGATCGAGTCCCACATCGGGCTCCCTGCATGGAGCCTGCTTCTCCCTCTGCCTGTGTCTCTGCCTCTCTCTCTGTCTCTCTCATGAATAAATAAATAAAATCTTAAAAAAAAATACTAAAAGACCAGATCTTAATACAAGTAATGATCAATCTATGAAAACAAATAAAGGGAAACCTCTCTAAAATGCAGTCAGGGCCATACCACTGGGCCAATTACAGGAAGACCTAACAATTACAGACCGCAGAATAAGCCTCAGCAGGAAAAAATCGGCAATTATAGGTCTCAGCAGGAAAAGATGTACATTGTATCACCTATAATAAATCTACCTCAGCAAATCAGAAACCATCATCACCCTGAACTCTAGCTTTTCTCCAATGGACTATAGTTCAAAACAACCCTTCCCAACTTCTTTCTTCTTTTCCACAAAATAACAAACCAATCCTTAAATTGGTCAAAAAAAAAAAAAAGAGTTTGTAAAGAATGGGAAACACTGCTAAACATGTTTGAATCTGGGAGAAAGGCATACAGGTGTTCCATGTACTATTCGTGCAGCTTTTTTTTTTTTTTTTTTAATTTTTATTTATTTATGATAGTCACAGAGAGAGAGAGAGGGAGGCAGAGACACAGGCAGAGGGAGAAGCAGGCTCCATGCACCGGGAGCCGGACGTGGGATTCGATCCCGGGTCTCCAGGATCGCGCCCTGGGCCAAAGGCAGGCGCCAAACCGCTGCGCCACCCAGGGATCCCTCGTGCAGCTTTTTAAAATAAGTTTTGAAATATTTCAAACCAAAATGGCAAGAAGGAGAAGCAATTCAGCCATAAAAATGAAGTAAAAGATCTTTCAGAATTTATAATTACAAGTCATCTTTTGCCATGTTCTTAAAGAAAGCTACACTGAAAATGTCCTTAAAGAGCTAAGATTTCCTACCGTGGTTATGGCCAGGACAGCACTTTGCATCGAGGCCACGCAGAAAAACGAAAACAAAAACAAAAACTTAACAGTAAACGTTAACTTGGGGAGCCTGGGTGGGCTCAGCTGGCTAAGCACCTGCCTTCAGCTCAGGTCCTGATCCCAGGGTCTTGGGGATTGAGCCCTGCTTCAGGCTCCCTGCGGAGCCAGCTTCTCCCACACCCTCTACCCTTCCCCCTGCTTGTGCAAGCTCTATGTCTCTGAAAAAAAAGTGAATAAATAAAATGTTAAATCTTTTTTTTTTTTTTTTTAAGCAGTAAAGGTAACTCAGCTGTAAATTCCTGAGAGCAGAAATTATGTGCTATAATTTTGTTTATAAACCTCTGGTATTTTGTACACAACAGAAAGTTGACCGAGCACTAGTCACAACCTGGGATGAAGAAGGAAAGTCAGCCTTTATACTGTACCCAAAAAGATTTAAACCAAAGGACAGAGTTGTGGTTACCTTTCCTTAATTGTAAACCACAGATGTCTGCCAAAAAATACTGAGAAACTGTGACCCTAGTAAAATGCCATTTGCATAATTTTCATTAGGAAACCCACAAAATTCTATACACTGAGAGGAAAACTCTTATTACAAATAAAATATGCTTTATTATTATTTTTTTTCCAGTCTAATTACCTCTTACAGATTCTTTTATTACAGTCACAAACTGAAGCCAGAGGGCATCAGGATCAATTTCAACCCAGCCAGCTTGAGGATAAAGACTTTCTACCTATTTAGAAAAAAGAGAAAATTTAGTAAAAACATTAGATCAGGTCAATAATACCTGGGTCTTAAATTTTTTTTTAATGTTTAAAATGATTAACAACATGATTTCATTCATTATCTAATTCATTTTTATTGTTAAAATGGAAAATATAAAAAAAAGTTTTCTTTAGTTCATGAGTTTGCAGAAAATTTTAGCTTTCTTTATTTTATATTTACTTTCCAAGTTTATTTTTATTTTCCAAGGTTTCTATAATGAAAATGTACTATTTTTTTTAAAAAAAAAATTTTTTTAAAAACAAAAATTAACAAAGTACCAAAGTGGGCTGCAGACTATGACAGAAAGCATACTCCACCCTGTCTCTATCACTGAATGAAGAGATAAAATCTGGACCCAACGCAGGGAGCAGCTATTTGTGGACTCTAACAAGTATACACTGGAAAGAAGATGGGGGGAGATAAGAATCCAAGTTCTGATAAGTGGTGGTGAGCTTCCCATTTTTTTTCCTGATATTTTCTGACCTGGACTCAAAGCAATCCACAAAACAAGAAATGGGTACCAGGGTGCAATGGAAACTCCAGGAGAAGTCCCCATATTTCTTTTTTTTCTCCCACTTGCCTCTATAGTTTTTGTACCCAGGCTATCTTGTAGTAGTGGTTGCACCAGTAATCCTAAGTACTTCAGATACTGAAGGAGGGAGGAGGTGTGGCCCAAGACCTCCACAATTTTTCTGCTCTCTCTGTGCTCCCAGCTGTGGGCATCCGAAGTGCTGGCAGAGTAGGGTAATAAGAGCTCCAGCTTTCTGGCAAGAGGAGCCAAAAGGGGAAGCTCGGGGAACCAAAAAGTACCAGGACAATCTCAGAGAAAGAGGAACTTGGGAAAGCTGCTCTGGAAAGTTGTGTATGAACTCTGAGGCTCACCTCGAAGCTGTACATGAGTGAATATATGCTAAACAGCACAGCAAAGATGTTGACAACTAAGGGACAGCCCTACCTAGGTGCCAGGCCAACTCCTGGGTGGCACATACAAAGGGCATATGTAAATAGTACCGCTGCCAGGATTCTGGAAAAGACAACCACTGAAGCCAAAGTCCATAGAAGACTTAGCAGAATTTGTAGCCTGAACCCAACTGCATTAATGGCCCCGTAAAAGAAAAAAATATCAACATTCATCGTAGGATTTACACAAGGCGCAGAGTCTTATAACACAATATTCAAAATGTCCATGATATAATCTGAAATTACAAGGTATATGAAGAACTGGAAAAATTTCACATGGGAAAAGATAATAGATACTAATGCCAAGATGACAGATATCTGACCGAGACTTCACAGCAGCGATTATAAAAATGTTCCAAGAAGAAAGGGCAAATTCTTTTGAGACAAATGGCAAGATAGAAAGTCTCAGCCAAGAAACATAAGACAAAAAGAAAAATAAAATTTTTAGAATTAAAAACTACAGTAATTAGGAGAATGGAAGAAATGGAGAGATGCTGGTCAAGGGGTGCAAACCTTCAGTTATAAGATGAATAAGTACTAGAGACCTAACATACAGCATGGTGACTATATAGTTAATAACAGTGTATCATACACTTGAAATTTGCTAGGAGAGCAGTTCTCAAGCGTTCTTAACACATATACACATACACAAATAGTAACTATGTGAAGTAATGGGTATGTTAATTAGCTCGATTGTGGTAATCATTGCACTATGCATATGGGTACCAAGACATCATGTTGTACACCTTACCTATATACTTTTATTTGTCAATCATACCTCAATAAAACTGGAACAAATCAATTAAGAAAAATATAACAATCCAAATAAAAAACATACTGGATGGCTCAATAGTAGAATAAAGATAATAAGAAAGCCAGTAAACCAAAGATAGGTCAATAGAAATTATCAAACTTAAATAATAGAAAGAGGGATGCCTGGGTGGCACAGTGGTTGAGCAACTGCCTTTGGCTCAGGGCGTGATCCCGAGGTCCTGGGATCAAGTCCTGCATCCAGCTCCCCACAGGGAGCCTGCTTTTTCCCTCTGCCTGTGTCTCTGCCTCTCTGTGTCTCATGAATAAATAAATAAAATCTTTAAAAAATAATAACAGGAATAGGAAAAAATATTGGAAAAAAAGAATGAATAAAGCCTCAGGAGGCAGGAGAAAAAGGTCATCAGATTCCCCAAAGAAGGAAAAAAAAAAAAGAGTTCAGTGCAAAAAAAAAAAAAAAAAAAAAACTTCAGAGAAGTAATAGTGCTAAAAACTTTCCATGTTCAGCGGAAGATTTAAAATCTGTATATTTGGGGCACCTGTGTGGCTCGGTCATAGAAGTGTCTCCCTTCAGCTCAGGCCATGATCCTGGGGTCCTGGGATCGAGCCCCACATCAGGCTCCCTGCTCAGCGAGAAGCCTGCTTCTCCCTCTGCCTCTGCCTGCCACTCCCTCTGCCTGTGCATGCTCTCTCTCTCTGTCAAAAAAATAATAAAATCTAAAAATAATAATTAAGATAAAATAAAATCTGTATATTCAAGAAACTTAGAAGACTTCTAAAAGGATAAGTCCAAAGCATTACATATCCAGACCCAGCATAACTAAAATGCTAAAACCCAAAAACTAGGGAAAAATCGTGAAAGCGGCCATAGGTAACAATGATTCTTTATAACTGTGGCTTTCTCATCAGAGCCATGGAAGCCAGTAGGAAGTGGCTCAACATTTTAAAAATGCTAAAGAAATGCTATCTACAATTATATATCAAAATCCCAGTATGTTTGTAGATACAAACATGATGATTCTAAAATTTATAGGAAAAACAAAAGAACGAAAATAACTACAACAATGTTGACAGAGAATAAAACTGGAGGAATCACACTACCCAACTTTAATATGTTACATTAATCAAAACAATGTGCTACTACCAAAAAATTGAGCGCCTGGGCGGCTCAGTTGGCTGATCATCTGACTTTTGATTTTGGCTTAGGTCATGATATCAGGGTGTTGAGATCAAGCCCCATGTTGGGCTCAGTGCTCAGTCTGTTCTCCCTCCTCCCGCTTGTGCTTGCTTTCTCTCCCTCTCTAAAATAAGTATACAAAGTAATTTTTAAAAAATAGACAAATGCTATCAATGGAACAGAGTCCAGAAACAGACCCACACAAATATAGCTAAAATCAATTAGCTATTTATTTATTTTTAACAACTGTATACAAGGTAATTCAATGGAAAAAAGATAGCTTTTTCAACAGTTGGAAAAATCAGACATTCATATGCAAAAAAAATTAACCTTAACCTCACATCTTACACAAAACTTAACTCAAAATTGATCACATAAAACTGTAAAATGTTTGGAAGAAAACAAGGGAAAAGGTTCTTTGTGATGTGGGTTTAGGTGAAGAGCTCTTTGACATGACACCAAATGTACCACTCATAAAACAGAGAAATTGATAAATTGGACTTTATCAAAATTAAAAACATTTGACCTACAAAAGAAAAGGTAAAGAAAATTAAAAGACAAAGTGCAGATTCATTTAAAATATCTGTAAATCATCCATCTAACACAGGACTTGCATTTAGGATATATGAAGAAATCCCAAAATTCAACAGTATGAAAACAAAACAACCCAATTAAAAAATGAGCAAGCAAAAAATAAATAAATAAAAAATGAGCAAAAGACTTGAACAGGCACTTCGCCAAAGAAGATATACATGGATAGCAAATATACATAGAAAATATTCCACATCGTTAAACATTAGGGAAATTCAAATCAAAACCATAATGAGATACCACTACACCTATTAGAATGTGTAAAATAAAAACTACAAATAATTTCAAGTGTCAGTGAAGAACATGTGGAACTCTTATGCAAACTGATGGGAATGCAATATGGTACAGCCATTCTAGAAAAGTGTGGTAGTTGTTTGTTAAGTTAAATATTCACTTAACTATATGACCCAATCATACCACTTGCAGGTATTTATTTATTCTAGAGAAATAAAAACTCAGGTTCATATTAAAATCTGTACACAAATGGTTACTGTAGCTCTAGCCAAAATCACCAGAAACACGGATACAACCCAAATGTACTTCAACTGGTGAATGAATGTGACACATCCGTCTAATGGGTTACTACTTGGAAATAAAAAGGAATAAACTACTGATACACATAATATGGACAAATCTCAAAGGCATTATGCCAAAAAAAGCCAGTCTCTGAAGGCTAGTGACTGTATTTTTCCATTTATAGGACATTCTCAAAAAGACAAAGCTATATACATGGAAAATAGATCAGGGTTAGGTATGGGAGGAATAGGTCTACAAAGGGCTAGCACAAGGGAGTTTGTTGGATTACTCCTACATGGGCTAAAAAAAAAAAAATCATAGAACTTATTCACCAAAAAGGCAATTTTACTGTATGTTAATTTAAAATATAAAATAAAAAAAAAAAAAGCCATGGCTTCAGTTTAACATGATGCCTTGAATTCACATATCTTATCTCCAATTCCTCTCAAAATTCCATTAAAATAAAAACATTAAAAAGGTTTATGCAGGGGCTCCTGAGTGGCTCAATTAAGTTCAGGTCATGATCCCAGGTACCTGGGATCCAGCCCCGTGTTGGGCTTCCTGCTCAGCAAGGAGCCTGCTTCTCCCTCAACTCATGTTCTCACTTGCTCTGCTCTCTCTCTCTCTCTCAAATAAATAAAAATCTAAAAAAAAGTTTTATGCAGAGAGACAATGCTAAGAGAGCAAACAGGTTCAGACCAGGTTTTAACAAATGTTTTTATATGAACAGTGAGTGGGTTGGTGGCACATGGCTAAACAGAGGAGAAAACTGATCCTTCACTCCCTGCTCAGATTACACCACGTCTTTGCTCAACCCCTGGCAGAGATTCTATGGTAAAGCCTTGAAAATTAGAGGTACCTCCAAAGACTGAGATGCCAGATGGGACTGAACACAAGATTTGTTCAAAGTCTTTGTAAGGATCCCCAATCCTTTCCTCCAGCCAGATCACTGCCCCTCCCTAAACAAGCCGAAGATAAAAGGTTTACCCTCCAAAGGGACTGAATCAGAAGAGTTCTTTCTTTGCAAAAATCAGATATAGCTGAGTAGAGTAAGACTATTTAGTGGTACTGAAAATATGAACCAATAACCAACCAAAGATCAGACATGTAAGAAAAGGCCAAAATAAAGAAAACAAAGGAATGCTGAGGCAACAGTGATTATGTGGGGAGCATGATGGTGACAAGGTCCAATAGGAAAAAAGAATCTACTACTCCCCAGTAAATTCTCAGAGACAGGCTTAACAAAATCTATTCCCCTTCTATCAAATGATACTCGTTTTTTTTGCTATGCAAGACTTTCATGACCACAGACGAATGCCTCAACTGCAATAACACTTCCTCATCGCAAAAAACTCAATGTGGATATCACTGAGTCAAACCTACAAATCTTCAGACTTGCCGGTGGCACTCCAGCATCACTCCCCCCACTCCAACCCAGAGAGCTCACTATATCCAAACACGTCACAATAGTGAAATCTCCTCCCATGCCGAAGAAAGACCAAACTGAAATTAGACAAGAGGATAGCCAAAGCAAGGAGGATGATTTGTTTGCTGATTACAAACAAAAGATAAAAACCAGAATCTTTCAAGATTGTCCAGAAGGGTACACAACAGTAGAGATTATACTGCTTTCTTTGGACTGGCCTTTCTGTGCTGTTTTTCCAGGATGTTATTGCCCTTTATGGTTTCTCACAAATAGCATGATGTTCCAACGGGGAACTTGATAAACTTTCTCCTTAAAACTAGAAACATCAGGGACACCTGGGTGGCTCAGTGGTTGAGCATCTGCCTTCCACTCAGGGCGTGATCCCAGGGTCCTGGGATCCAGTCCCGCATCGGACTCCCCACAGGGAGCCTGCTTCTCCTTCTACCTATGTCTCTGCCTCTCTCTCTCTGTGTTTCTCATGAATAAATAGATAAAATCTTAAAAAAAAAAAAAAAAAAAAAACTAGAAACATCAAATATTGACATGTGGATTTTCAAATCTTAATACTATATTCTAGTGTCTAAATACCAATATTTAAGAATCTATACAAAGACTTCTTAAAAAAAATACAAACTATAAAAATAAAATGAGAAATACAAATTATAGAAAAAGCCTAAAAATGTATCTCTGCTGTTAAAAAATGAATGCCACAAGAAATAAAACTAGTTTTCTGAGAGGCCTGGTACCAGCTTCCCAACATAAAGGGTTCATGTTTGCAATTTCAATTTTATTTTATTTTTTTATTTTTCAAAGACTTTATTTATTTATTCATTTATTTATTCATTCATTCATTCATTCATTCATGAGAGAGACACACAGAGAGGCAGAGATATAGGCAGAGGGAGAAGCAGGCTCCCTGCAGGGAGCCCGATGTGGGACTCGATCCTGGGACTCCAGGATCACACCCTGGGCTAAAGACGAAGGCAGGCACTAAACCGCTGAGCCACCCAGGGATCCCCCCAATTTCAATTTTAATTAAAAGACCAAGGCAACCTATTTTGTTTTTGTCTCTAAGGGTGATCTCTTCACTTTTTCTTTCTCTGTCTCTCTTTTAAGCTATCTGCTGGGCAGTATCCATCGAACCCTACACTAAGTGGTCTTGGGTTTCTATTACATATAGCCTTACCATCATATTAGCAGAGGTGTGATTTTTAGCTTGAGAAAATAAACAAAGGTCGAAGCAAACTGAATTCCTGATACTTTAAGTGCAATTCAATGATTTATTCTGTACCCATGAGGTAATAAATCAGGTGCTAAGTAGCAATGTAGGCCAACAAGACTCTTTTTCTCAAAGAACTTCAGCTATCTGAAGTAAATGACCAAGTTCTGATCGTTCTTTTCTAATTTCTAATTCATTATGAGCAAACAATTTTTTTTTGGACCAACAACTTTTAAGAGACAAAGTAATTTTCTAGGAAAAAATTACACAAAATAAAACCCCAAATGTTTCATTAAGGTCAACAGACATAAGATTACTGTATTAACTGCTACACAAGTTTCTAAATCTTAGCTTCTTCATCTCTACCCCAGGTGCCCAGGAACTACAATTTAAGAAGCACTGCTGTGAACTCTTACCACAGTTGGAGAGCCACTGCTATAAACTCAATTCAAATGTTTTGCCCTTTGAGGGCAGGGACTTTTTATAGTTTTATTAACTCACTTACTTTCCAGACACTTCATGGTTGAGAGTCTGGGCAAAACCATTCTAGTCTCCTACTCACAGCAATTTTGATTCACCTGTCTGATTCCTATCTCATTTCTAAAAAAAAAAAAAAAAGTGTAATCACGTACCCCAAATCACACAGCAACTGAAACTTTGTATTTCCTGACAATCCATGTCTCCCTTTGGTTCCAAATACTTCAATGCAAAAAAAAAACAAAACAAAACAGAAAACAAAACAAAACAAAACAACAAAAAACTCTGCCTACAGACAAAAGTACTTTGTGTCTAGGATTATGAGGAAGAGTGTGTGAAAAGTATCATTGTGTTGTGATAAAGACGCATAAAGAGATAAGACGCACAGAGCCGCTGGAGCACAGTGTTCTCTCAAGTTGGGGGAGGGATGGCATGTGTAGGGCCGAGTGCAGGGTCTCTGTACAGGTGGCCGGCCTGGAAGGTGGCTGCTGATGCCAGCTCGGGGTCCTGGTCGGGAAACCACACTGAAATGAAACTCTCCCATTTTCTCAAAGCAGTCACTTGGCCAGATGGGTCCCTGGGCAACTGCTGCAATCGTAAAACACAGTCAAGGGGTTGGGAAGAAGGGTGAGAACGGAGCCACCGCGAGGGTCCAGTGCTGCTGGGAAGGGGTAACTAAAGGCTCCTAACGTGCAACCTAGCAAGATGCTGCCCTCGGGAGGAAGGGCAGGAACACCACGTCCAATCAACGTTCTCTTTGGTGCGCTCGCGCAAAGCCACACGTCACTAAGGCCAACAAGAGGAGGGCACCAATCCTCTGGTCGCTGTACCCCTAACAAGGGTTTGGCCAAGTCTCCCAGACCAGAAGGAGGTGTGTTTCGAATCAAGGCTCAGAGAGGGAAGAGGAGAAGAGCGATGACGACACCGCCTTCACCACGGGTCCGGGAGGAGGCCTCGCACATCCGCGGAAATCCGGGCGCGCAGGTGAGGACCGGGCGCCTCGAGCGGCAGTTCGGAGAGAGCACAGCTGAAGAACGGACGATACATTCTATCAAGACCCGAGCATTTTAAATGGCAATGAACACCGCGGGTTGGAAGCCTGGGGAGCAAGTGTGGGGGAAGCCCTCGCACGTCGCAAAGTCCCTTCTGGCCGGACGCGCGCGGCGTGCCCCGCGCCGCCCCGCGCTGCTCCCCGCCGCCCCGCGCCGCCCCGCGCTGCTCCCCGCTGCCCTGCGCCGCCCCGCGCTGCTCCCCGCTGCCCCCCGCTGCTCCCCCCCCTCCGCCCCCGCAGAGGCGACTCCGCCGCAGAGACAGCCGAGCGAAGCGCCCCGCGGCACAGGCCCGCCCCTCCCGCCCGCAGCCGGCACCGGAAGGGCGCGCAGCCTTCAGCCCTGCCCGGGGCGGGAATCCGCCCGCCGCTCGGGACCCCGGGCCCGCAGGTGGCGGCGTCCGGGCCGCAGGCGCCCGGCCCGCCCGCTCGCCTCCCGCGCCCAGACCCGCGGCGCGCTCTGCCACCCCGACGCCGGCTCCCGGGTCACCTTCTGCGCGCTGGAGCCGCGAATCAGCGTCGCGTGGTCATAGACGTGGCAGCGGATCACCGAGCTGCCCACGTCGAGCCCCAGCACGAAGCCCGCGGGAGTCGGGCCCGCCGCGCCCTGCTCCGGCCGCCTCTTCTCCGGGACCGCGCGCACCCCCGACATCCCGCCCCCCGCCAGCCTCTCGGCGACGGCCGCCCCGCGAGCCCCGCGCGCTTATAAAGGCCCGCGGCGCCTCAGGGGCCAAGCGCGCCCCGCGGGGCCGCCGCCCCCGGCCCGCCCCTCCGCGAGATCCCGGGAAGCGGCCCCGCCCCCGCCGCGGCCCCGCCCCGACGCCGTGACGTCACGGCCGCGCAGGAGCCCTGTCGAGGCGCGTGCGGGGGGGAGGGGCCGGCGGCCGCGGGGGGCGCGGGGCGGCGAGCGCGTCCCCAGGGCGGTGCCCGCGTTCCTTTGAGCCGTACAGACAGTTTATGAACATCTAGCAAGAAAAATATATTTTTTTCTTGTTTTGTTCTATTAAGAAAAATAAAGTGAGGGCAGCCCCGGTGGCGCCGCGGTTTAGCGCCACCTGCAGCCCGGGGCGTGATCCTGCAGACCCGGGATCGAGTCCCGCGTCGGCTCCCTGCGTGGAGCCTGCCTCTCCCTCTGCCTGTGTCTCTGCCTCTCTCTCTCACTATGAATAAATAAATCTTAAAAAAGAAAAATAAAGTGACCTGAAAAGAAATCAGGAATGCAGCCTAAAGTATATATTGATAGAGTCCAAGCCCCCCCCCCAAGACTACTCTCCCAAGTTAACCTGTTAAATGTGCACATAAAGGGGATCCCTGGGTGGCCCAGCAGTTTAGCGCCTGCCTTTGCCCGGGGCCTTGACCCTGGAGACCCGGGATCGAGTCCCACGCCGGGCTCCTTGCATAGGGCCTGCTTCTCTCTTGGTCTGTGTCTCTGCTTCTCTGTGTGTGTGTCTCTCATGAATAAATGAATAAGATCTTTTTTAAAAAATGTGCACATAAAATACTCATTAATAAATGCTCGTGAATGTAATGACACACAAAGCGTAAGACCTTCCCCGGCCCTCTGCTGGGGAAGAAGGCACACAGCATCGGGTGGCCTCTGACCGTCAAGCCCCCGCCTTCACCCCACCCCCCAGCCTCACGGGTTACCTGGAAGAGCCCAGGGCAGAAAGGAGGCCTATGGCAATCTCGAGACTCCTGTAGCTTCACTTTACCTTCCCAGAGCAAAGGGGCCTTCCCGGGAGGTAGTCCGGCTCCCAAGGTACAAGCCTGATGGGTAGGGAGCCGGGGGCTGTTGACTGCTGCCTCAGCCACCTCTCCACCCCCAGGAGCACTCCCCAAACACCAGCGCCTGAAAATATTCATTATCTACTTTTTGTAAGGTTAGGAAGGTAATATGGATATGTGCCTTTTGTGAAAATAGTTTAACAGTGCAATTAAATAGCAAAAGATCTTCATTTTGAACCAAATTGTTCTTTTGACCAAGCCGGGGCATTAACCAACTTGCTTTCAGACCGTTTTACAAAAACTGGGCTCTTTGGCCATATTACTGGAAGCTTAGAACGTACACTTAGAACATAAAAGTTTATGTTTTCTCTCTGTACCCTGTTCTTGTCCAATCATAATCATTTATTCCAAATGGCCTCAGGATTGCTTTCACCAATGGTGAAGTTCAGCATTTTGGTGATTCATAGATATGTTAATTCTCAGTAGTATAATGAAATAAATGACTGATGGGTCGTGTCCTGGGTAGGGTTTCCAAGAGAAACAGACCCAATAGGATAGAAAGGGAAGAAGAGGAAGAGATTGAGATTTTGAGGTATTGCATCACATGCTTGTATGGGTGGAGAGTTCCAGAAATCTGTAGGGGAGGCTGAAAGGCTAAGAATTCAGGTTAAGAGTTGATGTTACAGTCTTGAATCTGAATTCTACAGGACAGCAAGCTGGCAACCCAGGCAGGGTTTCTATGTTGCAATCTGGAAAATCCTTTCTCGTTTGGGAAACCTCAGGATTTGCATTTAAGGCCTTCAACTGATTGGACGAGGCCCACCAACATTAGGAAGGGCAGTTTGGTTTACTCAATGTCTGTTGATTTAAATGTTAATTACATCTAAAAAGTACCTCACAACAATACCTAGACTGGTGTTTGACCGTACAACTGGGTGCCCACACAGTGTGCCCATGAGCCTAGCCAAGTTGATATATAAGATCAACTATCACCCGTTCTCTATCACAACAGAGAACACTGTTTTGGATTCCCTGATATTAATATTTAGCATATTTCTCAAAGTCATAGTTCTTGGGCTTCTTGGACCCTGACAGTTCCTTTGTGATCCTTTTCATAAATTGAAATCAATTATCTTGAGTATTATCAAATTACATAGAATGTGAAAACAAGGACTTTAGCAACCACTAGTTTCTTAATCTGTTTCCAATCTTGAACAACTTTGAGACCCTGTTGGATGCTGTCTTCTGAGAATATGCTTATATACACAAAATTTGTCATATAATTTCAAGTGTTGGGTATGGGATAGTCTAAATATAAAGATCTCAGGTTAAAATTCCTGGACGGGGATCCCTGGGTGGTGCAGCGGTTTAGTGCCTGCCTTTGGCCCAGGGTGCAATCCTGGAGACCCGGGATCGAATCCCACGTTGGGCTCCCGGTGCATGGAGCCTGCTTCTCCCTCTGCCTGTGTCTCTGCCTCTCTCTCTCTCTCTCTCTCTCTCTCTCTCTCTCTCTGTGACTATCATAAATAAGTAAAAATTTAAAAAAATAAAAAAATAAAATTCCTGGACGACGGACTATTGCCTGGGAGAGGGTTGGCAACAAAGGGATACTGTGTTTCTTCCATGTTCATTGTTCTGTGCTGACATCTCTTATCCTGCTTTGCTCTCAGGGTAAGGAGCATGTGGGCTCTGAGGCACAGGGCTCACAAACTCTGAAGGTCCCTTTGTTAGCGGATGAGTCCATTGTTCTTGATTCAGAGGCCACTGCTGCTCTGAGCTCCATTACCTGGCGGCCTTGGTCTTCATCTGGCTCCTCACATTCTGGCTTGGCCTCAGAAGTGACTCATGAGGCTGCTCTCCCAGGCTTTTCCTCAGCACTGCCACTCCTTATACTTTCTTCTCTTATAGTAGAGCCCAGGATTACAAATCGTTGTACTAACTTTGCACACTCTCAAGAACTTGGATCCAATTCCAGTTCCACTAGATCAGAAAGTACACCTGGGCCACCACACGCTATAGGGAAATGAATGGTGCTTCAGGGCTGAACCCAGAAACCTCAAGGCCTTCCCACCTCCAAGAAAACTAGTCATGGGCCCTCCCTGCTAGGGTGACCAGCTGTCCCAGTTTGCCATAGACTGGGGAGTCTCTTAAAACACAGGATTTGAAATGCTAAAACCAGGATAGTCCTCACTATTCAGAGGCTCTTGGGATCCACAGGTGATTTTCTTTTTTTTTTTTTTAATATAATCCTTTTTTTAAGATTTTATTTATTTATTCATGAGACACACACACACACACACACACAGAGGTGGAGACACAGGCAGAGGGAGAAGCAGGCTCCATGTAGGGAGCCTGATGAGGGACTCAATCCTGGGACTCCTGGATCACATCCCAAGCCAAAGGCAGACACTCAACTGCTGAGCCACCCAGGCATCCCAACACAGGTGATTTTCCTTGGGACCCTGGCTACCTCATGTGTAGGTAGGTGTCAGCCATCACTTCTAGACGTGAGCTCCTTGAGTACAGAGATGGGTACTTAGTCTTCCTTTTTTTCCCCTCCAAGACACACAAAGTAATGGCTCAATGACTGAATGAACAAATAAATAAATTAGTATGTTCAAGTCCCTGTCAGATTCATCTGTGTGACTTGGCCACAAGACACATAGAGTTAGGAGCCCTTCCTAGTCCCCTCATGAATCTGGGTATGTTGTCATAGGCCCACCAGTGTGGACCTCCTATTGTGTAAAGGTGTGGAGTTGTGCTGGCGGTCTGCTACCTGGAACCAAGACCTGGATACCCACATGAATATCGAGCCACCTCCTTTTTTAACCCTTATTTTATGAGCTCTGCCTAATTTATATTAGACTTCTGCCTCAGTTTCCTGATCTGTATTCACTCCTGACTGTCCGGAGCCCTAGCCTAACACCACCATACAGTTAATGAAGCTTACGCTTCACGTCCCTCATTTGCATGAGTAGGGACTGCCAAGATCCTAAGATGAGCCGTAACAAACTTTTCAGAGTCCCATGCTTTACAGGATTTGCAAAAGTGAATCACTTTTGCATTTTGTGTGTGTGTGTGTGTGTGTTTTGTTTTGTTTTTTCATTTTTGTATTTTTTTCTTTAAGTAGGCTCCCCAAATTATGCAAGCTTCAGATCCCACAAAACTATAATCTTCTTGACTTTGTATAGTGAGAGCTCAGGAATTCCCTCTTTCTCAATGCCTGGACTCACTCTTCTGGACCCCATGTGGTGGTCCTGAATGCTGCCACGCACCCACTCTAAGTACCACAACCCCGACTTGCTGATCTGAGCCCCCTGAACACTGACGGCTGAGATCAAGTCTGCCCTCCGTACACAGCCTGAGTGATCATGGTGGTAAACACTGGCACCCCTCCTTGGAGCCATATTAATCAAGCCCTGCCCATACCTCACCAGTGTTAGCTGAGGTCCTTGCCTGTCTTGCTGTTAAAGCCCATTCACACTCGGAAGCAGTCAAACCAGAAGGAATGAGAAACAAGAACTTCAAATTCTTGGGCCTGATGCCCATCAAGATCTGAAAGTAAAAGAGCACTTTGGACCCCACCAAAATCAAGGGGAGAATTGGGAATTGAAAGGAAGAATAGCAGGACGCCTGGTGGCTCAGTGGTTGAGGGTCGGCCTTTGGCTCAGGGCATGATCCTGGGGTCCTGGGATTGAGTCCCACATCGGGCTCCCTGCCTGGAGCCTATTTCTCCCTCTGCCTATGTCTCTGCCTCTGTGTGTGTGTCTTTCATGAATAAATAAATAAAATCTTAAAAAAAAAAAAAAAAAGGAAGGAAGAATAATACACTAAAAAAAAAAAAAAAAAAAAGCCAGACTGGAGGAAGTTGCTTCAGAACCCAAGCAAACAAACAAAATCTTAGTTACATGCTTCCCAGAAAACAAAGAACAAAAGAAAATGTGAATTTTCTATCAGAAAGGAAGAAGCCACATGAGTAACTGCTATGCCAATCACTGCAATTATACGTACAGTCCTTCGGATTCTCTCACTTAATTCTCTCCAGAACCCACTGAGGGTCACTGTGTGGTTGC